AAGGGGCAATGGGGGAAAGAGGAAGAGATAACACTAAGAAGGTGGTCAGTTCTGCTCTAAAATTTGTACTTCTTGTAGCAATTCCTGAAATAGTAACTTGTGCAGAAGTCACAAGTTCAGTGCCTGGCTCTCCCACCTGCTCTTTCTTACCACAGTTTGGCTTTAGCACACTGTCTTCAAAGGAACTTGAACCTGGATCCCGATGGAATCGGTGTCTGCCTATTGCATCAACTCTATCCTCTTTGTAGCCATGGTAGAGATGTAAGATGGATACTAACCCAGACCTGGCTCCAGCAAGCTGGTACTGAATCAACTTTTCTGATACCTTCTGCCAAAACTAAATCTATTGTCTCAAGCATTCTTGTCCCAAAGGGAGAAGGTGGTCTTCCTATCTCCATCTCCTTTCTGCCAAATTCAGGAAAATCCATAGCTTCAGGTGCTTGCAGGCATGTAGCAGCATGTGTGTTGATAGTGCATATAGGTCAGGTGAGCCTTCCTCTTGCATATCAGTAAGGCTTGTGGTCATGTGCTTCAGAATCAGGGTCAGCACCAGTCTGCTGTACATGCACAACTGAAGCAGAGTAACAGCAAAAGGAGAAGAAAAAATGACATCGGAGAGATGCCTGCTCCCACCTACAAAGAAGCACTGCTCTTTCATCTTGTTTAGAGGTCCTGTTCTGGGTAATCTGGGACTTTTCCATCTCCTGAGAGAATTTCTATAATCTGGGTTGACAGCAAAAGGAAGTGAATATCCTCACACAGGGCCTCACTCCTCAGATGCTTCCCAGGTCATCTCTGTTTTCTGCAGTCTCCCAGTTCAAACCCATGGCAGGATCTTGGGTGTGGTCTGTAAAGTATTAGTGAATAATTTATCAGCTACATCAGGATTTTTCTACCTGCTTTTGGTCATCTGAGGCTACTCTTGTATGTACAGGGCACTGTTAACTAAACAAGGCCAAAACCTCAACTTATAGCTGCATGACACAAAGCATCCCTAGCTGGAAGTTTAGTTTTGGAATCACTTCCCAACAATGAAATGTTGAAACAAGAGGTTAAAGCCTGCAGAATAGCAAGATGCTCCCTGTGTACCTTAAAACCTTGCTAATTGATAAATTCTCTCAGTCCTTCACATCCTTTGATTTTGAGTTCAAAACTTGCTGTTTTATTCTTTGCATGAAGGAGAGAAGTGCTTCATTTATAATAAGATTTATTGACAGAGCTGGGCTCAAGGTGTGCTTCTGTTGGACTGCAGATTATTGGGATTAGCCTGAGCTACTTTCCCCTATTGCCTCAACTCACATTTGTCCTGCCTCAGCATCTTCTCTGTGGGTGTGCTTGCCAATACGAGCTTAGTTTTTTCTCCTTTCTATTTGGCTCATGGTTCCTTCTTCTTTCTCTCAAACAGCTTCAGTGCCTAACTTGCTCTTCTCCAGCCTGTCATCTGCTACTATTATCCAGTTGTACACATTGCGCAGCTTAATCATAGTAATATATCGTGCCTAGAGCATGTTTTTTCCCCTCCTCTGTGTATTTCCAAGATATCTGTGAGCTGAAGAGCTGTCTGGAAGACTGAAAGTTGTTGGTAGACCACACAAAAGAATTTGGCAGAAAGACGACATCTTTCATTTATCCAGTTGGCAGCTTGTGATCTCTCAGAACAAAGTTTATTGGTAATTTATTTCTAACAGAAGAAATTGTGGAGTTCTAAGACACACTAAAAGGTAAAAATTGTTAGGTCCCAGTATTAGATAACAAGTGTCTGATCACAAACAAAAAAAGAGAAGGACAGAAGTTGAGTATTTTGTAACTGGAAGTCACTTTGTTCTTCAGACAGTTTAGTGTGGAATGGTGCTGAAAAACACTCAAGCAAAGGCTTAAAAAAACCTCCACCATACTCTTCACTTTTTATTTTTTAAAACTGAGCATAGAATCATAAAATGACAAATATTGATTTATCATTTGATAATTTATAAAATTATTTCCATACATCCTTTGAACCACATTGAGATATCTGAAGATGTTACACACAACTATAAAGCCAGTAGTAGTGTTACTGTAACATTTTGGGACTTGAAAAAAATTTATTGTATTAATTCACTCTATAGAGCACCATATTTGGAATAACCTAAAGTTCACACTTCCATAAAGAGAATTTTCAGGAAGATTCTGAGATTTAAATCCTCTTGGCCCCAGTGAAAACAAAGGCATAAACAGGAACCTGTGTTCTACATTGCCAGTTTTGTTCCCACATTTTGAACTACATTTTGCAGGCACTTAAATCTTCTTGTTAAAGTTTTGCTTCTTCCTACATAACTGTGTTGGAGTAAGTCCTAAGGCACCTCTGCCTTTAAACGATGGAGGTGGTTTGACTCCTCTTTCCAGCCTATGTGGGATACTGCAAATGTTTACATAGATTAGATGAATTGCAACCTGTTTTTAACCACACTCTGGGTGGTGTTCTCTGAGCATGAAATATTTCATCACGGTGCACAGGCCACCACCCCTTTCCTTTGGAACACAGAGAGTTGGAAAGATTATCCCTTAACTTAGGTTACTTGTCCAGGATGACAGAAATCAGAATGCAGACTTGTGCTCATGTTTTTATAAGTGGAAGAAACAGTGCTTGGTGGGATAACACAGAAATGTACTTCATGAGTGGAGAAAATACACTACTTCTTTTTTATCTTTGTTTCCTTTTGCTCAGCCTTTTGTATTTTGTAGGTGTCTTTGAAGATTTATATGCAGCATGTATTGTATGTTGAAAGAAGAAGGTCCACCTGAAGGCTCTGTGAGGGCCAGGTGCCTAAATTCTGGTGTGAATCTCAGTGCTTTGTACTTGTGATATGAATCATAGCCTCAATGACTAAAATGAAAAATCAGTAGGTGTTTTGTGATTATAACATAAACCACCAACATGGTTAAGCAAGATGAGCATATACAGTTTTGAATATTAAATCTCAGTTGCACAAAAGGAACTGCTTTTGTGAAATTAGTTGCTCTCCCTGATCCAAGTTTCTGCGTTAGACCATTCCTTCTGCCATAAAAACCTTTGTTTCTTTTGCTGATGAATGAGATAAATCTTCTAAACCCTTTGACATACTACCTGTAACACAAAAAATAAATAAATAAACCAACCACATTGTTCCCCAGTCTCAAACTCTGCAGATATAGAGTTCACTAATAAGTCATCTCTCTTTTTCCTTTAAAAGAAGACAACCGTATAGCATAATAGAGTTCTCTGTCTAGCATACAAACCCATCTGGAAAGAATTTAGTCTGCAATACTTGTGGGCATTTGATTTAGCTTTAAATCCCTGTAGGTAATTCAAATGTAAATTTATTGGGGTGAGTTTATCCCCAAGCTGCTATTGGATCCAATGTTTCAAAGATGAAATTGGCCCACTACACTAAAGCTAGAGCCTGCATTGTTTCTGTTGCATCAGAATATTATTACATGCTGTAATGTCTGTCGTTATAAACAGACCTTTACAAGAAATAAAATCAACAGAGACACTACAGACTATCACCTGAATCACATTTATTTTTCAGACCTTTAAAGACTAGTAATTCTTTCGTTATTAATATGTTTATATACTGGTATCTAACTCGCTCAGACAATACTGGTCTAATTCATTATTCTGTTACTCTGTACTCATTTAAGATAGTCTTTTTGGTTAAGTACAATCTTTGCATTTCACATTCTGCTTCAGAAAAAAGCCCAACGTTTCAAGAGGCATTCAGCACATAACATAAACAATGCCATCTGTCTTTTTCTTTGTAAAATCTTCTTCGAGATAGCCCCGATATGCCTACTGTTTTCAATCACTTAAAAGGCAGTAATCCAATTATATCATCCTCTATGTAGGAACTGCCATTGCTTTCAGTCCACTTCCAATCCTGACACAAGTAAATCACTTTGATAAGATCCTCTTTTTATTTATTTTTTTCTGAGGAGACTAGCATAAGTAATGATGCCAGTGATAGACCAAGGACAAAATGACCATAATGGACTTTCTGTAGGAAAGGAAAACATGTGCCATTGTGATTTATCATGTTACTTGAAAAATATTTTTCCTTGGAATTTCTGCAACAGCTACACTCTCCAAGTGAAGGGCATTAGCAAGTATGAATGGACAAATGGTAAATTCAGACAAAACCTTCATTGAGTAGCAGATTTAAACAGCTATTGCTACTTAGATTTCTTAAACAGGAACAGAAGGTCAAAACCATTTTGGAAATATGCCTAGGTCATATTCATCTTTGGTATAATGCCACCCACTTACATGGGAACACGCTGGGAATGTGTAAGGTTGGATCTTCCTTACAAACTACTAAGGCTTATCATGCAGATATGCCTTCCTTCTATTTAAAAATGGTTTGGGTGACTTCAGTGCTTTGTGCCACTGGTGAGGCAGGGGCTTGGCACACACATCTAACCTCCCAGAATAGACGTGGCACGAGATTGGTAGTATCTGTAGACTTTCTGCTACAAACTGCCCTCAACTCTGATGCTGAGAGAGCATGGCTAGAGCTGAGCTCTCTGGACACATCTATCTCTTGCTCCTGATTACAGAAAAATGGGAGAGTAGCAGATGAGGTGGTCATGTGTGATGCAAAAGCTTCTTTGAAAGGAGCTGGGCCATAGGTGTGTCTGAACCCAGACTGATCACTCAGCACAAATAACCCCACAGTTTGCATTTTCGAATTTATTGAGTGCTGGTGCTATATTCACTGTCTGAGACCACATCCAGGAAACACAATAGGAAGTTCACTCTACTTTGCTGAAGAAGCAAGTAGAGGTGATTGGCAATATTAAAAAAAAAACACAGGCCAAATCCAGCATTTCCTATGCCATGCTATGAGGTACGTATTTTGTTAAGTAATTTTGGAGAGTCTGTGAGAAAGCTGTGATCTGGACAGGTGAAAGGCCTTGTATTTAACCTAATGAATTTGGATGCTGTTTAGGATGATATTGATACAGTAGGTTGTTTCTTTTTACAGAGAAAGTGTGGAGAGCCTTATCCAAAAGCATTCCTATGCCCGATCTCCCATTCGAACCTATGGAGGAGAAGATGATCTTGGAGATGACAGTCAGGCAACACAAAGCAGAGGTAGGAAAACGTGCTCATGAGGTAAACTGTTGTGACCTAGTTATGCTTGAGAAAAGCAGGACCAGAGTTAGTACTGTGGTAATCTAATGCATTTCTCTGGTATGTCTCTCTGCTGTGAAGAAGAATGGCTCTTTGGGATCTGACATGCCCATGGCACTGGTGTGGGTGGTTTGGTTCAGGAGGCAGCTCTAGAGATGCCCATATAGTCTCTGCCATCAGAAGAAAACTACCTCTGCTTCCTCTTCCAGAAGCCTGAAAACCAGGCAACTTCATTACTGTGGTGCTGAGAACAAGCTAACACTCCCTATCTCTTGGCAGGACTTACTAGACGGGCTCAGCAGCATTTGTAAAGTAATGTGTAGATGTGCCACTTGCTGCCCCTCCAGCCTTCTGTGAAGAGAGGACTTAGCTCTGCCTATCTTCAACAAGCCTATGTTTAACCTGCTTTGCCTCTACAGGAAGAAAAGTTTGTATCTCCCTGAAAAATTAATGTTTAATTGTTATCTCTTAGTCTCTAAAAGGTGCTT